GAAATAACTCCGCCTGTGTCAAAACGTGACTCGTTCTTGCATCCCGGTGCATAAGAGTCGTCCTGAGGAATTTAACCGAGAGATTTATATGGCACATGCTCCCTTTCACAGAACACTGTTCATTCAGCTCTCTGACCGCAGGAGCTATGGAGCGGAGGCCTCTGCAAGTACCGTTCATGACAAAAGGCTTTGCTGCCAGCGCATTAGTCACCAGTTTGCTGCCCCTTTCCCTGCACACTACGTCAGAATGGCAACTGTTTTCCGTTCTTCGTGTGCAGTCACAAGGGATGATGGGTGACACCGAGAATCACCTCTCTCCTGCTCTAATGAACTAGAAACTGTCATGCCTCTCCCCCTTTCTGGCCAGCAGGGAGAGCTCCTTTCCTTGCAAGGCTTCCGAATGCAGCTTGTACCTTAAATCTTGTGGGTCTATCATACTCAAAAGTGGAATCCCTAAAAGCATCCAACAAGAGAGACTGTCTCTATCAATAATAGACACACATGAAATAATGGCATAAAGGTTCACAGAGCCACACAAAACTCAGTCAAACATCACTTCTTGCCAATGATCCACAATCATTTTCCTCCTTGTTGATTGCGAGACTGTCTGATGTATCAAGGACTTTCTCCCATGCATACAGGTGGGGTTTAAATCTCCCTCCACGCCAGTGGCCAAAGAGACCCTATCACAACTGTTGAGAAAATTGCTTAAAACTGACAGTTGAAGAATTTTTAATTGTAGCTCCGTCTTTCAGCTGAAATGTCCAGTCATAGCTCTAAAATGAAAACAGATGCACAGTAGGTAAACTGTCCTAAAAATCAACTTTTTGTCCTGAACTGCTGCATGGTATTGCACTCCATTGTGCTACAACTGCTAAGTCTCGCCCCAGAGGTGGCTGCATTCAGCAGTGGGTCAACTGAATCCATGCAATGAATCAATCTTAAATTTGTATGGGATTCTTCAAGAGGGCAGGTCGGATACATATTAAAGTGCTAATTACTCTCAGGCTGAATTGGGTTGGGCTTTAGATTGTGAAGCACTTCCATTTTAATACGAAAAGCAAACATCTCTCTCTATTTACATCTCTGACATGCTACCCCCAGAATATCATCCTCATTGTACCAGGAGCAATAAATCCTGCAGCAAACCACCAGGGAGGGTGACAACATAAAGAACCTAATGAGACACATGACTGGTTAAAAATAATAGTCAAGGCTATAGAGCCAGGTATGCTTATAATGACTGCATGAGCCCTAAAGTGGGACCTCATCTAAGCCAGGGATCGTGATGATGTAGTAGCCTGTGTATCATGTTCTAAAGCATAGAGGTATTTGCTAACGGTTCATTCAGCTTGGGATTTTCCCTGCTGAGAGGGAACCACAAGATCCTAGCTGGATGTCTGGGCAGAACAACAGGGAACATGTAGTAATGCCTAGAAAGACAACTTAAAGGTCAACATTATAATTTTAAAATTGTGATGATGTAGAGATGGAGAAACAGGGAACAGCTGATTAACAGCAGCATTGCAAATACGATGCACTCTCATAATTAAAGTGTGAGGCAGGCAGATATGGAATCATAAGACACCCGGGCATAAATAGAACAAGCTGACAGAGCACCAAACTTCAGCACCAGAGGGGGTTCTACATTTTCAGTTCCTCTATTTTAATTCTACTTAAATCCCCCAGTGGCAAAGAAACAAGCAGGAAACCCCAAAGGGAAGCGTAGCATATGGGACCCAAGCACAGCTCAGTAAATCTGTCAATGATTCTCCATTCAAACATGCCCTAAGAGCCAATGCATTGTACTGCCTCTGTGTCTATGGGTAGAAGCTAAAACATTTTGGGGGAGGATATTGTTTTACCTGGGTACATCAAATGTTGTTGTCAGGGTTAGTTTGGGGAGGAATCGGTAACCCTAGAAAAAATGGGAGCCGTTTGCAGACATGTTGCTGCACACAGGGGTTTCAAGGCACGCTTGTTAGTTTTATGGGGGCTTCATAGTGGGTGAAACTTGAGATGGCCATACTGGGTCAGACCAGAGTGCACAGATTTGGACAGGCTGTGTGCCTTCTCTGAGGTGAAGGAGGGATTGTCTGGAGGTGATGGGAACTTGGAATTGGGAGACTTGGAGTCTAGTCTCAATTTGGCCATGTTCTGGTTTTGACTCCCTGTTGCCTGGTTGCCCACAACTGTGCAAACAGTTGCTCTCCTGATTAGGAAGCATTTTACACCCACTCTGCACTGGGATCAGTGATTGTCTCCAGGAACAAGGCAGGGGAGAGTCAAACCCTCTGGCTACGTCTACACTGGCCCCTCTTCCGGAAGGGGCATGTAAATTTCAGCAGTCGTCGTAGGGAAATCCGCGGGGGATTTAAATATCCCCCGCGGCATTTAAATAAAAATGTCCGCCGCTTTTTTCCGGCTTTTAAAAAAGCCGGAACCTCCGGAAAAGGGCACTTTTTCCGGAGGATCGGGGCCAGTGTAGACGCTCTTTTCCGGCTTTTTTAAAAGCCGGAAAAAAGCGGCGGACATTTTTATTTAAATGCCGCGGGGGATATTTAAATCCCCCGCGGATTTCCCTACGACGACTGCTGAAATTTACATGCCCCTTCCGGAAGAGGGGCCAGTGTAGACGTAGCCTCTCTGTATAACCTTGGGCAAGTCACTTGATGTCTCTGTGCCTTGGTTTCCCCACTTGTTCTTTCTTCCCCCTTGGTCATTTAGGTTGCTTTGGGGGCAGAGATTCTCTCTTAGCATGTATTTGTACAGCACAATCTCAGCCGGATTATAGTAATACACAGTGAATAATTGTAAATTGCTCACAAAAGAGAGCTACGAAGCTTGAATATTTGCCAAAGGCACTGGTAACATTTGCCATTTATGTGATGTTTGGCTAGTTACATAAATTGTCCAACCAAGGAATGGGAACAATACCCCATGTCATTACGATCACTCGCCAGGGCCGTGCAAATGATCACCGCTAGCAAAGCAGCCGCGAGCCATAGGCCAAGTCTGATTCCCTGCAGCCGTTTGCAAATCAGGAAGGTTAGCTAATGAAGGCGAGCAGCAACGGGGGGGCCGCCCCCGGGCGCGCTAGTGTCCCCGCCCCCTGGCGCCCGGCAGGCAAACGGCCACGCCCCCTGGCGCCCAGCGGGCGAACGGCCACGCTCCCTGGCGCCCACAACCTGAAAAGGTTGGGGACCACTGCTTTAAGGTGTCAGCCTCCCCTTGCAACTATTGCAATAATTCTGCACCAAATGCAGAATTCAGCCTGCAGTGACCAAGTGAGCCATCCCAATATCCATTTCACTGTTTCACTGGGAGGGTGGTGAAGCACTGGGATGCCCTAGGGTGCCTAAATGTTCTTCAGGCCCAGCCTGGCTATGGTGATTGAGTTGGGGTTGGTCCTGCTTTGAGCAGGAGGTTGAACTAGATGACCTCCAGAGGTTTCTTCCAAACCTAATATCCAATTCCTGTGCTTCTGCCTAAAGGAACCAGCCATACATTTATGGGGCAGGAAGCTGAATCCACTTAAAAAATTCACTCATGCTCAGATTTCTAAAGTCTCCAGCCTAAATGTGTATGGGCATATGTGCAAAGGGCAGAAACTTGGCTGGCTGTCCTTAGTTAATTAAGGTGCCCCTTCTAATTACAAAAATTAGGGCCAGCAAAGGTCTTCCTGGCTAAGTCTTGTACTTTCCCTGTTGCTTGGAAATGAATGTAGAGTCCATGGCTCACCCTGAAATCGAGCTGCCCAGTGGGTAGGTGGTACAGCAGGGAGCCAGCTGCTCCCAGGAAAACACTGTGCAGAGTTACTCTCTTGCCTCCCCGCCCAGCTATCAGTGGCGGGGAAGGAAGCTAACTTCCTGTTTGGCTCCTGTAGGGTGGCAGCAGTGATGACACGGAGCTCCGCTACTCCTGGGTGGCAAGGTGCTGCCTTGCCCTTCCCTCCCCATGAAGACCAGCAGGGTTGGGGGCTTTGAGCACCTCACTGGATCGGGTCCCAAATGATTTGCACACCGGGATATTTTGCCATTTAGTGTAAGGGGGAGGGGAGTTGTCTCTCTCACACGTCATATTCCCTCCAGACTCTGCCGCTCCTTGCCTCCCTCACAGGCGTTAACCATTCCCAGTGGGTCCCTCAGGCCCATGGGACCGGTGTGTGCAAGGCACGTGTGTCCCACAGCACTTCCTGGGCAGGTGTGTGTGTGCGTGCGTGCATCCGTCCGTCCGTCTGTCCCCCATCCTGAATTGTTCCGCAGCCAACACACCAAAAAAGAGCACTTTGTTGTTGCTACTCTCATGTTCTCCCCAGCCCATGAGATCCCACTGCATGGGCCAGTGGAAGAGGCTGCTTGACACACAAAAGGGATGAGATTTGTGAGTAGCCGCAACAAAAGTGTAGCCAGCTGCCTTCCCCAGTCTTGTGCTCCTGGCTGGCTGGTCGGGGCAGGAAGTGCCTTCCAGAGAGAAACCAGGCAGTTAGAAACCAGGGAGCGTTGCTCAGTCTACTGGGTCCACCCTAGAGGCATTTTTCTATTCAGGCAAAAGTTTTCACACACAAGCCTCGCCTCCACCCACCTCGCTTCTTAGACTGAAGGGGCTCTGTGGTTTGGGGAGACAGAAGATTATTTTGCAGTCCTGGGGCTCCCAGGTGGACACTCAGAATACCTCTCTGCTCTACAGGCTGCATGGCAGGGGGGCCGCAGAGTGAATATTGATTGGCAAAACTGAGAATTCACAGTGACGCTCTGGGAAGAATCCCTTTGACTTTCCCAGACTCTTGGTGAAGGGGCAGGTAGAGGCTGATATCTGGCCACCCCACCACTGGAGTAAGAACATTGCGGAGGGGTAGATTTGGGAGTAGAAGGCAGTACACGTGGCCTGCCTACCTCTCTCCCTTCCATTAGAGGTACAAAGTGCTGCTTGGCTTTTTGGCAGGCAACAGTCTTTCTCCAAGCCTAAAATCTGGAACCCTTCTAGCCCCATATGAAATCACTTGTGCAATTGACTTTCAGGAACGCCAGAGGAAATATCTGAGCCTCAGTCCTTGGGATAAAGCCACCCTCAGCATGGTAAGTGACGGCAGGTTACCTACAATACATGATACTCTGTCTCCACTTCTTGTTATGCTAAAGAGTGTGTTAATCTCTTTGCTTTCAACAAGAGCCTTCCTTCTTGGGAAAGTCCCAAACACCACACACTCCTGCATGCAGGGCTGCACGCTTTCCGATCCTTTACCCAATTTTTGCTTCCTGGGTTTGCCAGTTGCCATCCAAGCCAGCCTTGTTCCCCTCTGGTCTTGTGACAGAACTACAAATCAAGCTGTCCTTGTGGCCTCCTACTTCCAGACACAATGGCACCCGGCGGATGGCCCAGAAGCAGAATTTCTCGGCAGCCAGTTTTTGCATGGGAAGCTGAGCTGGGAAGGAAACTCTTTTTTTTAAGCACAAATATCTGAGCAAAGGGACCTCTGAAAAGTAGCAGCCAAGTTCATTCTTCTGACTACAAATATGTTCTCTTACGGCCAGGTATGTGCCACCCACTTTGTTGTCTGTGCCTGTGAGCAGAGGGTCCCAGCTCGGTATGCTCAGATGGGATCGGTTTATGCCACGTGGGCCTCACAGACAGTCCCTTCTTCCACTCCTAACACTCCCGCTTTGCAAATGGTCCCATGTCAGAAGAGGCAACAAGGCCAAACGTTGCCCCTTTTGCCGTCGCCTCCTCAGAGTACTTGCCCCGTCATAGAGCCAACTGACTGGACCCCAGAATGGCTGAGGGGGCAACGCTCAGACCCCACCCTTGCCCGCATGACATAGTGACCTGAACAGGGCGGGCAGGTGGTTAGTGTGGCCTTGACTTTCATTTAAGGAGCTGTTCTTTTAGAACCGTTTGGCTTTTTCGAGATGACTTGCAGAAGGTGACGCATCGTGCACAAGAGGTGGGGTGTTGCCGGGGGGAGAGTGAACAGGGAAAATGTCTCTTTTCCGCCACTGTATGAGGGACTAGAAGATTTGCCCAATGTCGCTTGGGTCCTTAAATCATTTTTTTTTCCTTTCATTTAAATCATCATTCTGGGGTGGGGCAGAAGAGGAGGGGTTCAGAACACCCCCAGCCCTCTCTCACCATAGCAGGTTAGGAGCAGATGAAAAGCCTCTGTCCATGGCCACTGCAGCTCCAGCAAGCATAGCTGGGGGAGGGGGGGAACATACAGAAAGACACACAGAGACAGATTCCCTGAAACATAGAGTAGATTGCTATCCCTTTCCCCGCCCTGCCCCATGCTGGGCCAGTGGGGTTGTAGCTGTCCTAGGTGCCACCTCTGCCCCCCTCAGATTATTCTACAGTATAACGGTCCCTCCTCCCACGCCTTCCTTTTTCATTTTATGAGAAACAATTGAATTCGAGACATGTCCCATCATCCTGGCACAACCAAACCCTGCCCGTGCTTTGAGTTATAATGAGAGGAAGCTGCCCACCAAATTTGGTGGTCCTAGTATAAAGCCGACAGGGGAACAGAACCTAGGGGCTCTGGAGCCCAGCGCAGGAGCCTCTACAGCCTGAACTAGAGGCCAGCTGGCTCTCCACTAAGGCTGCAGAGCAAACCCGTTCTTTCTGGTCTACATGCCACTCGATGGGACAGTGCACCACAGCCAGGTGTGGGTTACACTAGCGCTTATTGTTCAGCATGAATTCTTGAACTAATGGACTCACAGACAGATGGACAGACAGATGTTTCTAAAATATATTGTAAGACGATTATGGAGGCCTCAATGGTTATGCTAAAAAGGGAGGTTTTTACCTTGCTGCAGGTAGGTGAGTTCAGCTCCCCGACGGAGCATAGTGTTGAACTCCTCAAGCCACAGCAAGGTAAAAACTACTTTTGCCTGGTCTCCGCTAGGATTTTACAGTGAAATACCCACCTGTGTTAGCGATGGGGCTGTGCAAACACCCTTTTCCTGGCAGCAAAGTCATAGCCTTAGCTTAAGAATACCACACTCCGGAGTGGTGCGTGTGTGTGTGACATGGAGGAAACTGAGCAGAGGGCCTGGTTTTCCAAAGATCAGGTGTGCCCAGGCATGTGCAGAGGCATCTCTCATTTGCAGCTGCAACAGTCAGTGGAGGGGTGTTTATTACCTTACGGCCTAGATTGGGATTGACCCTTGCGCAGGGTGACTGTGATCCCTGCATCAGCACAGGGATGGCTGTTCTGAGGCAAGAGATTGTGCGGTTCTGTTGTGCCTTTAACTCTGAGCGTGGCTGAGGGGCAGGGTTTGCTCACTTCGTACATTTCCTCCACGCCTCAGAGACGCAAAGTGCACAGCTGCCAGCCGCGGTAACGAGCGTGGAAATAGCAAAACCTTCTTCCTCGTGGTTGTGCCCCTGCTCGGTCGCCTCTTCCTTGCGTTGAGCTTTCCAGTTGTCACCAGCACCGTGTGCGGTGCAGAGCAACGCCGGAGACATCTGTAAAACGGCAGGCGTGGTCCACGTGGGGCTGACTGGGAACGGCATCCTGAGCATGGTGGTAACCCAAACAAGCTGTAGCAGGATGTGACAGCCCCAGACTGCACGGGGCACACAGCTGAAGGCTGGGCCATTGCCACTGAGGCTGTCTCAGGTGGGGGTGGAATTGGAGAGTCCATACTGTGCCTGACGATAGCAGCAAAAAGAGAATACAGGGGCTACTTATGATGCTGAGCTTTACAAAGCTGGTTTAGGGGATTTGGACACACAATTCCCATGCATTATGTGCCTCAGTCCCTTGTGGCATTCCAAATCTCTACCTATCTAGCATTTTTACCTGGGATCCCTGACGTTGCCAGTGCTCATTCCCACGGCTGCCTTTATGTACCTCCGACAAACGGTGGCTGCAAATTTGCATCCACAACAGCCGGAAATAGCGGTTGAATCACGATCTGCAATTACCACATGCACTGAACAGGGGGACCCCTTTCGCTGTCAGTAATAGCAGGCTGTTACAGTTGCTGGAACTAGCCAATGGTGGTCAACTCACTCGCTACGGGCTGGTCTGTACCAACAGCGGGTGGCAAGCAGGGGTGTAAATTGAACTCACACTAGCCTGCTGCCTGCTAACACTCTGCACGGACCCTCCTGCACTTCAGTCTGCTCCACTTTGGAACATGAACTCTCCAGACAAGCCCCAAACCAGCATGGCACCGCAACGTAATGGCTGCATGGTGAGCCCCGGTCCAATCACCATTTGCCACGGGAGCTACTCAAATGTGCCCTGGAACCAGTCAGCAACAGCCGACATCAACTATTCTTCAAAGTGTGGGCATGAGGCAGAGAGCCAGCAGAATGGCACCAGAGCGGCTCCGTACAAGGGCAAAGGATCTCACACCGAGCGTGGCAGCTACAGGCTGATCCCATTGTTACCAGCCCCTGGAAACGCCTTTGCTCACGTTGTGCTTGGTAGGGTGCAGCCGCTCCGTAAGAAACGTCATCGTCCACAGCAGTCGAGTTTCCCTGTTGGGCCATCAGCAGTGGAGCCTTCTCCTCTGGCTTCAGGTGGAGCTGCACTGAGAATCAACGGCCCTCTTCACATGGCGTAGATGGATGTCACAGCAGCTTTTGAGTGTCTGATGGGTCAGCACTTTATCTCACACCGAAAGGAGTAGTTGTTCCAGCTAATGGCAGCCCCCAGCTTACGAATGGGTTCTGTCCCAAAAGTTTAAGTCAAGTCGGTTGCATAGCAGGGACCAGGCACAAGCTGGGAATCAGCTGTCCCAGCTCATGCCTGGCCCTCGCCACTGTGATTCAGCCTTTTAAATGCATCAAGAGCCTGCTGGCTCTCAATGCATTCAAAGGCAGATCTGCAGCAGGGTTAGCCGGCAATTCCATCAATTAGTTGATTAAATGCAATGTAACATGCCCTAATGCAGAATGTAAGGCGCACGGTGGCAGGAGGAGGCCAGCAGGTAAAAGATGCTATCGTTTCCAAGGGGGTAACGCTGGAGATAAGCATGCTTGTAAACGAATTACAGGCTGTGATTCAGCCTTTGCGGGAAGCTAAATCCAAAAGGGGGAGGGGTTAAAGGTGAGATATAAGAAGTGAGGAACGGAGGACAATGGGGAAAGGAAAACTAATTCCGCAGTATTCGCTTCTCAAATGCAGAGAGCAGACTTCTGTCCCAGAAGAGGGGTAACTGGGCACAGCCCCATCAGGTACAGGAACCAATTGCTGTTGGGATCCAGAGGTAACCACTGGGTGGTGGGAGTAAACTTTGAGAAACATCAGCTGGATTGGGATTATTTTGTATATCCAATATTAATAGCCAAGGCCTCTGGAATTACCCATTTGCTACCCTAACTCTGGGTTCTGACACCGCACTGCATGCTGTTGATTGGCACAGAGATGGATTCGATATGGTGGCCGACTGACTTTTCAGCTGGTAACACTAGCCATCTGGTGGCCTGTTAGCTATTCAAGCTGCCGTGCAAAACGAAATCAGCAGCAGATAATCCTCTCTGCCCAGCCTGCTTCTTCCCTCAACAAGGAGCTATGAAAACCCTCTCTGGTATTGGGCCAAGCCCACGGAACGTGTGTCTGGAATAGCACGGACTGTGTGCTTGCTGGGGGGTGGAGCTGGCAGAATGGTTTGGAAGGAGCATCACAACTAAATACAAGGTGCGTATTTCTGCGATAGGGGCTGAATCACCTGCTAGAGCAGCCTGCGGTTATGTGGTTTCATCCATCAGAAATTTCGCCAGCTGGGCAGTTACGTCAGTCAGAGCAGATCTATTTCATTTGGCTTGTCGGACAGAGGGCATGGGGAGGGACTGGGCTCCCGTTCAATCGGTGGGTGTGCGTATCTCGTTTTTACATCAGCTGGAGAGAGCGAGAAGAACCTAGAGCTGTTCCACATCGAAGGGTCTGTCTGAGGCAAAGCCCCCTTGTGGAAAAGGAGGTTACCTGGCCCGTGGGTCCTGCGAGCTTAGAAATCAATAGCAAAACTCCTAGTGCCCTCGCTGAACAAATGTGTTGTCCAAATTCGAATTTAAATCCAGTTTTTCCCAAGATTGGACTTAAATGTGAGAGTTTTATGTTAGCAGC